GATCCGACTGGTGGTGAATAACAGAAATTACAATGCATGACAAGTGGGAACCTGTGAAAGGAACTCGTATCAGCACTGGCTGATAACAACCTCATGATACTGCGGATGCTGAGGTTGAGGGTGTTTCATTCTGAGCTTCGCAGCTGTAAGCATCGCGCAGTTCTTGTGAGTTTTTGCACATGTTTACTTCAAATGGGGACATGGGATACAGGGTGACAGGGCTTCTGTCAACCGGACATAAAGGTGTTTTCCGATCGCATTTACTGCACAAGAGTTGAAAGTAGAGCGAGAAGGGAAGAGAGAAGGAAGAAGGGAAAGAAGAAGGGAAGAATGGGAAAGGAAGTAGGAGGGAGGTTCCGCGGTTGACAGGTATCCGAAAGACAAGTACATGGTTCCTCACAGGAAACTGGAAAAAACAATCGTGATTGGTCGTGTCGTTGCTTGCGCCGTATCGTGTACTACCTACCACATCATCCTCTTCTCGATAGGGGAATGCATTAGGGGAGCAAGGAAAAGACAGTAGTGATTTGTCGCATCACCGCGTGCGATGGATTACGCGGCCACGCGCGGCGACTTCTCCATGGGCGTCACTTTTTCGACCGGAGCACCAAAACATGGGCGTGGCTTAGCTCGCCCGCCCACCAGTGCGGCACATTACGATTATCTCATCACCTACCCATGCTGGTAGCGTATGGTGGGTATTCACCTTACGTTCGTACCAACAGACAAAATATAGGTGTGTTGGGTTGCGGAGAACTGCAGAGACTGCGTTCCGATAGCGACCTAAAAGCGCGTTCAGACTTTGCGATCGCGTGATCCAGTTCGCGAACTGGATCGCGCGATCGCGAAGTCTGAACGCGCTCTAATAGCAGTCCCCAGCTGATATTCAGGTGCCAAAGCTATTTCCTTTTTATGCGACAACTAATGGCCACACATTTAGTTGTTAACTATTATATGGGGGTCAATATAAGGAGGTAGTTTGGTTTCCGTTTCGCACGTGCCCTTAGACGGAAACCAAACGAGTTATATATCCTTCTTTTGTGCTCGTCAGTAAGGGAAAGAAGGAATAATGAGTTGTATAGGATAATTTTTGAATTATATTTATAAAGTCACTTTCTCCGAACCTGTTCTTTGTTATTTCAAAAATAGTAATGATTGCATCTTGCTATACTTTTATTTCTATTTTTAGAAATAAAAGTAGAGCGAAATGCAATCACAATTGGTATTTTTTTTTCTAAGCCGTGTCATGGCTGCTCGTCTGGCCTTCGCATGGAGACGCGTGATATTTTCTTACCCGGTATTTTTCGAATAATTATGCTCCTCTCTGACTGCAATTGTCTAAGAACATGACAAGAGTATGTCTCGCTGGAGAGTGGCTCTTCCCGAAACACAGCGCTTGTTGAAGTATCCGTCTTCTGAGGCTACGTCATGGTTCGCAACTCGAGCCATTCAGTCGCGCGATTTGGGAGGTGAGCGGCCGCGAATAACTCCGACGCAAGTCGTTAGGCCTCTGCACTGCTAAGTTGATCACCGCCAACTGAAGCTTACTGGAAACTTTGCAGCAGTTGACGGTTCAGTTGTCGTTGTCGCGCGAGCGAATCGTTCGAAACCCGAACTGCGAGTGCTGCGTGAGACTCCGTTCGTACTTTGCCGCAGAGTTCACCATTCACCATCGTTCAGCAGGGTTCGGGAGTGGGGTGTATGGTGCAATAAGAGGGTAGCATACAGCTAGCAGAGAGCGTGGCGCGATGGGAAGATAGCAGGTGCTGGTAAAAGTATAGCAGATGCTGGCACCTCCTGTCGCGCAATACTTTACACTCCTGGACTCTAGTGAATGCTGGTGGACACCGGCAGACGCTGATGGACGCTGTCGCCAAGTATGAACGCAGCCTGAGAGAGAAAGCGCTCATTTCTCATTTCGATCTGGTTTTCAGGGTCTAAAATGTTCCAAAAAGGTGTTCATTCTTTTGGTGAGTACATTAAATGGCATGCATTTGTTGCAGATAAACTCAATAATGTAGTTCATTGGCAAAACCTTTTCAGCTGATTGCTGCGATTGTTCATGACGCCGCTTCTAATGCCGTGGAAAGGTTCAAAAGATCTGGTAGGTAACAGTTTCTTAATAGAATTGGGCGATCTCAGTTTGAAGAGAGAGTTAGGCCGGCAGGGTTAGTGTAACTTTCAGGGTCGATGTGGTGAACTAGTTGATGTTCTGGAGCGATACGTTATGCTTCCTGCTCAGGAAAGCGATCCGCTTGCATCCCCCTTCTGTGTGCTTGTCCCATGCTACATTCCGCGAAGGTCTGCGTCGCGCCAAATCACGAACATGAGTTCCCCTTCAGAGGTAATGTGGTACTTAATGTCACCTCCTTATCCTCTTTTGATCGTGAATCCAGGCGTTCTGCAGTATCGAGAAGGAAACGGGATTTTTTGGGAAGCATAAATGAAGCTGTTCCAGTTTGACAATGCGTCCGCCCCGTTAGGAGGTACCGGGATTCATATGCGATTAGTTCAAATCCCTACAGGGCACATGATTATTAGGTTGCCCCAAAAGTTCGTGACATTTTCGAGCTATTTTTCGAGTTTAGTTTAGAGAAGCAGTTTTAATGTACGATATCTATGCTACCTTCATCGACAACTTAACTTTCAACCATTCTCTGCTCAGTGGTTGGCAACTTTCATTGCCAACCACTGAGCAGAGAATGGTTGCCTTGATTCCAAAAGGCTTTATGGTTCCATGCCGAGAAGGACGGCTGGTCATTTTTGATGTGCTTTTGAAAACCGTATTTTTTTTACCCAGAAGATGGCCGCGGGGGGATTTGAATGGCAGTCAGAAAGAGCGGTGTCAATGCTACATGAAGACCGTGGTGGGATTCACCAGCCAAGCCTCAATCTCTCAAGCAGTGTCATTTTCCAAAGGCGGAACCGTGAGCTGTGGTGGAGTAAGCACATATTGCTGGGTTGCGGGGCCAAATCATAGAGATTTTCATAACCTCTTTGCAGTTGATTACAGTAATTATGCTGGCTACACACGTGTGAGAGTAGCGAATTCCCATCGAAGCAAGAGGAGAAAGGAAATCACATACACACCCCATTACTAGATTCATAAGATTGCGCGACCGATTCTACCGTTTACGGAGGCGCCACTGGCGTTTCCGGAAATGATTCACCTGGAGACAGCTCCCTCATATCCAGTTACAACGCTGTTCAACCAGTTCATACAGTGGAAGCGGTGGTGAAGATGTAGGCAGTACCTACATGCCCTTCCCCTTGACTACCGATCAACTAACGGGGAAAAATTTGACCGAACTTCACTACTTTATAAAGATGCTAGGCCCTCTGCCATTTGTGTCATTGTAACAGTCAAGTGTAAGGACCAAATAGTGAGTTGATTTGTAGGTATTTGTTTTGATCAAGGAGCGCAGTAAGTCCAAGTCCATGGCAGGTGGCCTCTCTGGACGAGGTTCTCCTCCGAAGCCACTTAAGCGAAATGATCGGGCCATCCCAAGGCCGTTCTGTGGAAGGTACCATTAGAACTGACATGGAGAAATGCCGCTTGTGGCTCCAACCACATTTTGGCTTGGTGGGGATTCATATATTGAAATATCTCGAAAATGATGAGTTCCATGTACCATTTTGGATGTGAGAACAGCGACTGCGAGGGGCTGAAGCCACTGTGGAATGCTTAGTTAAAATATTGTCCATAGACCACATAACTGGATCTTGAAATGGTTGCGGAAAGATCTAATTAAATTCAAAAAATGGTCACTAACTTTTGGAGGCAATCTAATAGTTGGGATTAGTCGGTCTGCACGACCCTTCTGGTTCCCTCCTCATCTAGCTGTCGTGCGTGGGTACGACTCCCCTCTAGATTTTAGGCTGTCCTCACTTCCTACACACTTTTCCGAGAATTTCTCAAGAATTTTCCTAATTCTAGGCAGAAATTTTGCTGTCGATTGGGGGAGGGGTATACAGTACACTTGAAACAAAACCACAATATCGACGGCCTCTCCCAGAAAGCCAGAAGCCAAATACGACACTCCCTGATGGGGAATCCTCAGTAACTAGCCCATCCATTTAAATATTGCAGGCATTTGATCAGGAGAATTTTGTTGTTGTAGCCAGGTTTTAATGGTTGGGGTGTTAGCTGTTTCGTTGTGCTGGCTGTGATTCTCGTGTCTGAGGTTTCAACGTCTTTTTTTCAGTGGCTTATGGACTTTGCCCTAGGCAATGTGAAGCGAAGCATTGTTCAGGCATCCAATGTTTTTTCGCTTGGGGTCATGAAGGGGACTGCAACTATGCCCAGTGTCCAATATATTGAAAAAATAAATGGTTTATGAAGGATTTTCAACTGAAAAAGAGCATAGTAGACACGCTGTCCCAAAAATTCTGTGACTGGGCCGGATTAGCTCTGATTCCGCACAAGAGTTTGGAAGTGAGCATTTTCTCCACTGTCACTCCCAGAACCAGAGCTCGTCTGGACATGACCTCCTCAACGCCCACATCGCTTTCAACCAGAAGGCTGTGGTCTAACGTGTATTTGAATTGATATCTAATTTCCGAGAAGTTGTCAGAGTATCGAAAATCTAAGTTCAGCGCAATCGATCGCTTACATTTGGTAACCCCATACCTGGATATCCAAAAGGGACCCTAAAAACCCCTTGAAGGCAAAGAAACCATGAACATCCCCATTTTAGCACAATCGTAGTGATAGCATAGTAACATGTACCACATTGGCACAAGATTTTATGGAGAAAACCCTGGGGTTGCGAATATGAGTGCCTGGGTTTTTTGACAGCAATCTCTATGGTTCACTTTCTCGAACATCTCTGTCCAATAGTATACTTTGAAAGTCTCAAATTTCCTCGCTTGGGAGCCGCTTCCTCCAAGTCGAGCATCGACGGCACAACGGTGGCCATGTCTTCAGTTTCATTTGAAGTCAAAAATAAAAATGAGGAAATACGAGGAAATAACAAACAATTTATTCATAACAACAAAATTCAGAACACCATGTTGTGAGGATACTGCCTCTTACCCAACATGAACCGCAATCCTAAGTAACCGAAGAGAGCTTTATGTTCAGAGTTTTTCTTGATAACGGGCAGGATAGATTTGTCAATGGCTTTCTGGTCAGTTTTCCTCTGCTCGGTGACATGAAATACAGACGTTCCTTCAATATCAAGGAAAAAAAGCATCAAGCACTTCGAGACGACAACTGAGCAGTCCCTCAGATAAGAGAATACTGTACAAAACAGACCTGATATTCAACCTCTCCAGCAGCGAAATTCTCTCCCTTCTTGCCAGACAACTTCTTTCGCCTGAAGAGATCGCCGTTGATGTGGCCCGGAATTATCACACCAGATACATTGACCTCTTCTTGGTGGCAGTGACGAAAGCTTGAGCGATTATTCGCCGAGGGATGTTATTCACTTTGTGAGGACGTGAAAGCCCCGAAACCCATCCAGAGAGGAGAAATCCAACTAATACGAGACACCACTTCTAGATCTCTCAAAGATTTCATTGCAACAACTCCTTCCAAAAGCCAATGCATACTATCGCCCTGTTCTTTCGCACAAAACACTTCGTAGCGGGTGGGAATGCGGCAAAAACCAGTACGCGCAAAACCGAGGCCTTCATGCATGACCACTCGAAGAAATGCCGAAACGGGATAGAAGAAAGTATACATACTGATTTGAAAAGCCCGGAAATTGGAGAAATGCAAAATTCGAAGAAATGCCGAAGTGACGGACAACGACGGGTTATCGCTCAGGCCCTACTGAAGAAAGCCGACTCCGGGAAACTCCGGCATTGGTGCAGATCCTACTTCCCGCGGAATCGTCGCTTCTTCAGATCGATACCTATACTTCCGTTTTTTTTCTGCATTTTCTGCGTTTCTAACAATTCAGCGTTTCTTCTTCGAAGTCGTGCTGTACTGGGTGAGCCGTTTTTCCTCACTCGAAATCTAGCGCCTATGTTGAAAAGATTTGCCATTGAATTTCATACTGTTTTGCAGATAAATTCCTTGCCCTATACGACTTTCCTTCTTGTTCTTTATTTATAGATCCTCTTTCCACAAAAACTTAGGCACTCAAAGTGGAGTGTCAGGTAAACAAATTCGACAGCCTCCTTTTCTCACCTCTGATCAAAAAGCTGAAACCGCAGACCCATGGTATATGGTCAGGAGGCTATGTATGTATGATAACTAGTGTTAATTTACAATACATTTGCATTACTCATCTAAATGTGTAATGATTACTCATCTGAATGTAGTTTTACATTGTCTCATTACTCATCTGAATGTAGTTTCACATTGTTTTTACACATTTGATAGTGTTCAATTCATTATGATAACAATACTTATGTTGTCAAAACTGACGTTTAGATCTTCTACGTTGTCCAGATCCATCTATGCAGCTAAAAGAAGTCATCATTCATATTGAACAATGTAGAAATGAGCGCAAAAGTAACCAGAATGAGCGTGTAAAGGGGCATGCGGCACAAAGACTCCCGTTTCGCGCGTTTGTGTATTGCACGCAATTCACGCGCGCGGAGACGCAGGAAGTGAAAACGGGAGTCGCCGCAAAAACGCCACGGCGTTCAATGTGTTAAAAAGCTAAAACCGCACAGGACCCATGGTTTATGATCAGGAGGCTATGTCTCTTGGAGAATGCTTATAACGGCTTGAGTTATTCGAAGATTTCCATTTAGACCCCACAGACGAGCATCGAACCTGATGCCATTCCTATTGAGCCCAACTCAGAGCTTACTGGAATGTCTTATAGAGCAGAAATATATGTATTTAATAGTGCAGAACATATTGAGAACCAGTATGCAGCTCTATTCAGTTCGACTTTACAGCGCTCTCATTCACTGACATTCAAGCTAAAGAATGGGGAATCGTTGGAGGTCATGGAATGCTTTCTTATCGTTATCAAGTATCACCATCAGTGGATGTTATACGTTCGAAATTTAGTTAGTACAGTTCTGCAGGGAGTTGCTCGCCAAATGGGCCCCTGTGCGATGCACATTTACAAGGTCCTAATTCCCATCTGCGAATGACTTAGAACAACTTGAAGCTGTCTTGAGAATCATCTTCCTTGATCATATATATCACAAGTTCTGAGCTTTTGTAATTTGAAGAGCTGAGATAAAGTGCAGAATGTTGTTGTGGAAAACTCACTTTGGGTTGACCCGACTCGACTTTAATGGAATAAAAATCGACAGAAATCGAGAAACAGTAGGAAGGCAACCATTCTGTCTTACAGAGCAGAAATATATCTATCTAATAGTGTAGAACATATTGGAAACAACTGTCACCTTCCATACGAAAATTTGTGTGAGAATAAAAAACGCCATTACTCAACCATCACAGTCCAACCCAATATGAACGCGGTCTACGAGTCAGGGCACATCGTTGGTTGGGGAATCCCCAACAGGGGGGTCGTATTTTGCCGCCAGGAGAGGCCGCCAGGAGAGGGGGGGGGTCGTAATGAGTGCGGTAGCCAGTAACGAGCAGCGCAAAGGTGTCAGTGTGCTGAGTCCGTACAGCGAAATGCTTTGTAGAGAACTCGGATATGTAAAAAAATAGTACAAAACTTTCATTCATCAAACTAATCCGAAATAACTGGAAATATTAATAAGTCGACATCATCTCGTAAGTGACTAAACAGTACAACTCATACTCTGGTTCGCTGCGGATGATGGGGCGTGTCGCGCTTGGCGCTGAGCCAACCTGTTTTTTTTCGACAAACGACAGGACTACCATATCGTTCGTATCAGACGTTTTCCAGCAGTTGGTCTCCTTTCATCGGAATCAGCAATTGGCGGAGCACGAATCTGGCGGCGTCGACAGGGACACGCTCCATCATACGCAACGGAAAACACTGTAAACAAGTGCACAGGTTCGCCATGGACCTCCCTGAATCCTATAGACACATTTGCTCGCGTGGACAGACATTACGCTCAAATTGCACCATCCCATCACCTCTGCGCGGACCTCAATGCGCGGCGCATCCAAAGTTAGCATGATTGGCGCTAAACAAACCACATCCTGCTCCTGCTCCACCACAGGATACGTTCTACATGTATTTCTGGTTCGAACAGTCGGAGTGTTCCCCAAATAATCCCCAACGCAATTATCTCATGACTCCCGGAAGCTTCAAAAACAAGTAGTTTTTGGAAAGAGCAAATCTTCTAGAACTCGACAGTAGTTTCAGATTCCCAAACTATTGAGGTTCAAGGGAAATATCTTGGTTCAAACCTGTAAAACTCGCGCTCCAAACTATCCAAAAAATGAACTCCCTAAAAACTCCCCAACGCAAATTTCTACATGAATTCGGCGACCTTTATGAACATGTTAGTATGTTTTGGAAAGATAAAATCTTTCTCCATACCACTGCGTTCTTCTTTTTCCCAAAGGTCCGCTATTACGGAAGTTATGGTCCTTTAAAGACACCCCACTTTCCTGAAAATCCGCGCTCCAATCAAACCACCTGCAACCACCTTGCGGCTGGAGGTCCTGCCCAGAATCCCTCCCCGGTACCTCGGCCTTTAATCAGCTGATTGCTGGTTTGCTCTCGTTCGTATTTACTCTTTCGTGTTTATCTTCTTCTCGGTTTATTCGAATATCGAATATTTATCTTCTTCTAGTTTACTCGAATACACGTCAGAGCGCGCCCCAGCAATTTTGCTTGGACCGCTCAGAGTGCTTTTAGGAGAAGTTGGCTTAATTTCCTGTTTTTTTTCTTTTAATTGCAATTGATTCAGGTACCAGAGTTTGTTTTGACTCGAGGAAAGGTGGGTGAAACCTAATGGCCTTTCTTTTCTATTCTCTTTTCTGAATCAGGATAGAAATGAGCAAAAAGCGAGGGGGGCCTCGTTCAGGATTGTTACTTTTTCCTATTTTTCGCGCTTACTTATAAACTTATGAAGTTTCTTCCTCCTCGGGGGGGGGGGGGGAAGAAACTTCATAAGTTTATGTATAGGGGGGGTCGTACCGAACCCCCAAAAAGGGGTGGGGGCTCCACTAAAATCCCCACTAAAATCCGCGAAGGCGGAATTCGTGCTGTAAGGTTATGGCACAAATAGCCATTGAGCTGAGTGGTCAAAAGTGGCCTCGGTAGCGTAATAGGGAACGCAACTGCCCGGTAAGCAGAAGATGCGGGTTCGAATCCCGTCCGTGGTCCGACTTTTGCATAACTCAGCATTCTTGTGATAGCTTTCTATCGCGTACTGCGGCGTTAAACAGCAGTTATCAAACAATAAACAGCTTGAAACAGAGCGAAGCTCCTTCCAAGCCCGGAGGACAGCCTCATCCTCTCTAGCGCAAAAGATCGAGCACGCGCCAAAATGTATCATTTGAGCGCAAATAAAGGTCAATGGAAGTCTTGCTACAGTAGAGCCGTAAGAACAATAAACTGTATTCTAAATATAAGGAGGTGAACTTCCAGAAGGAAAGCGGGAGATGTGGATAAGGATGAGATATGGGGAACTGTTTGTGGCTCTGCGAAGCTATGCTCTTCAAAAGATATAGTACTGGATTTAGAAACTAGCCGAGTGGTAGGCACGATGTCTAGAGGGAAAGGAGAGCGCAAAAGACACAAATTGGCCGTCAAAGAAAAGGAAGGGAAAGGTCGAAACGAAGGCTCGAGAGATGGAAACACCACCGCAGTAAAACAAACAAACCGATCAGATTAATGCCAACCACGGGGCAGCGGCTAAACTACAAATCCTTGCAAGGAAAAAAAATCGCGTCTTTTTTGATGTTTATCGTCCGCTGCTCCACCCACTGCTGTCAGTAAGTGTTTAGTTGTGGAGTGAATACAGAATAAAGTGAGCAGTTTCAATGAACGCCGATTGCGAGTCTATCGTAGTCGAGGGGTCCGTGAGTCGATCTCCGAACGCGTCGGTATCGCCCGCCGCCCAGCCGTCCTCCAGTCGCTACTCCATCACTTCTGCCCTTCGTCGGCCGGCTCGCCTCACACTCGCTGAAACCAAACCGTCATTACGGTCATCAAACGATCAGGCTACAGTGTTTCAGAATTTGCTCCAGTCTCCTGGACCTACAGGTAAGAGGAAGAAGGAGTACTTCGCACATGACCCAGACCCGCACCAGTGCTCGCTGGGCCACATTCTCGTGACAACAGTACCATTGCGGCTATGGTGAAGAACAGAAATTAACAATGCATGGCAAGTGGGAACCTGTGAAAATGAACTCGTATCAACACTGACTGATAACAACCTCATGATACTGCGGATGCTGAGGTTGAGGGTGTTTCATTCTGAGCTTCGCAGCTGTAAGCATCGCGCAGTTCTTGTGAGTTTTTGCACACGTTTACTTCGAATGGGGACATGGGATACAGGGTGACAGGGCTTCTGTCAACCGGACATAGAGGTATTTTCCCATCG